CTCCCTCCCTCCCTCCCGCTCACGCCAGTTATCCCCACTCGAGGGAGAGCTCGGCCGAGAGAACACAGTGGTGTGTCTTTACTAACCCTGTTTCGCTCGCTTTCGCCTCTTTTTCTTCCAATCCTCTCTATCTATCTGCCTCTCTTTCTCGCTCCTTGCTCGCGACTGACTCCGCTCGGGGGATTCTCTCCGTGGATAGTTCCTCGCCGGCCAGGTTAGACCGATTCCTTCTTTACGAAGGGGAACGTGAGCGTGCTGGTGACTTATGTTTGGGTTGGATGGGATTTCACCGTCGTTGGTGGTGTGTTTGGTGATTGGGTGGGGGAAGGATAACCGGTGAACAGTGGTGGACAGGTGGATTCCGTTTCTCTACGTTGGTGATCGTTTTGTGACGTGTTACTACAGTGGATTTTGCATTAATGGGATATAGTTAGAATTCGAATCGAAATATATTGTGATAGTTTATACATATAGATAGATTAATGCTGATCATATCGATGTGATCTCGCGAACGTTTTCGATTTCAAGCGGTTTAAGTTGATGGATTATGTTAGATTAAATATTTAATCGGTTCTTTCAATTTTCAGTGTATGTACGTAAAGATGTTAAAAATGTTTATAAAATAGAAAATATCCTCTCGATATATCTATTTTAATAATTATTTCAAGACTTGTGACGAATTTTCTTTAACTTTAATTAAAATGTAATTAAGATAAATAAAATGCCAAAGTTTCGTGTTATTACGTAAGAATAACTTTTTTTTAGCTTTACCTGAAATTTTTTAAATTTCTATCTACTTGTAATTCGATAGGTATGTATTTCATTATTTATGAAAGGAATTAAATAGAACTTGAATTACAAAATGTACAATATTGACAAGAGGAAATGGAGCAAACGATGAATTTTAACAGAATTATTTCGAAATACGGGAACTTTTCTTAATTAAAATTGACATTATCGAGTCGAAATAATCACTGATGTAATTATTAAATGTGTAAATTAAATCAATGCTATTTGAAATTAAAATATTATTTATGGATCACGATAATATTAAATATCACATCATAAAATAACATCTATTGTTCAATTTAAACTTATATATCAAATATTATATTCAATAAAAAAGAAATGAACAAATCTAATGGCGTTATATTAATTCACGAATAATTAAAATCATCCCGATATCGAGAATTCGTAAAAAAACCTGACCAATCATCGATCAAGAAACGATCCTTTTCAAACACAAAAGCAAAACAATTCTTTCTATCCACTCTTCGAAAACACGCTTCTCAAATAGTTTGTCCAAGACCGAGATTACGATCGTTCAAGTGGACAAAGGGGGGGGATGAAAAACGGGATG